GCACTCTGACCCCTAGTGGTTAAATTATGCAGAGAAATTCAGCATTTGTCCAAAGACAATAGGTTATTTCACATCATGTTCCTATATGATCTTTTTATCAGTTTATTTAAGAACATCAGCGTTCTTCCCCTTTATTCTCTACACTGAAGCATCCATCCATCTGGGGCAAATTTTCGTTTCTCATAGATCTAGTATTTCTCTTTTTGCCCCCCTCTATTCCTCTGCTGTTACCATCTTTCTTCTTGGGTTCATCCAACACCTGAAAAACCTTCCTAAAAAACTGTTTAGTTGGCCAGGCACAGTGACTCAGGCCTGTAATCCCAGCACTTTGGGAGGCCAACGTGGGCGGATCACCTGAGGTCAGGAGTTTGAGACCAGCCTGGCCAACATGGCAAAACCCTGTCCCTACTGAAATTACAAAAATGGGCTGGGCGCGGTGGCGTGCGCCTGTAAAAAAAAATTAAGAGCACTTAATAGTCATACTTTTCACTTTGGTTATATACAGTGTGTACATACACACACACACACACACACACACACGTATATCTTTTAACTCTCATTCTAATGTTTTACCTAATGTTCTACATAGAAAATTTCATGTATATTGTTTATCATCTTTCAAGAGTGAATTAAACACATGAATAGTTTCTCATGAAAAGGAATATTGATTGGTACGGATGTATAAGTATAATGGCTAGTTGCTCAGATCATCAACTAAACCTAAAACATGTGTTCCAGCGGGCCTGGTAGCTCGTGCATGTAATCCCAGCACTTTGGGAGACTGAGGTGGAGGACTGCTTGAGGCCAGGAGTTTAAGACTAGTCTGGGCAACATAGTGAAACTCTGTTGCTGCAAGAAAAAATTTAAAATTAGTCGAGCATGGTGGCATGCACCTATAATCCCAGCTACTTGGGAGGCAGAGGTGGGAAGAGTTCAAGGTTCCAGTGAACTCTGATGGTGCCACTGTTCTCCAGCCTGGGTGGCAGAGCCAGACCCTGTCACCAAAAACATAATATTAAAAAACAGTTCCCAAATTTTAATTTTAATTTTATTTATTTATTTTTGAGAGAGGGTCTCATTCTGTTGCCTGTGCTGGAGTGCAGTGGTGTGATTTCGGCTCACTGCAAACTCGACCTTGTGAGCTCAAGTGATTCTCCCACCTCAGCCTACTGAGTAGCTGGAACCACCATGTCCGGCTAATTTTTTGTTTGTTTTGTAGAGACAGGTGTCTGGCCATCACTACAAGACAGACAGGTGTCTGGCCATCTTTGGGATCTGGCCCAGGCAGATCTCAAACTCTTGGACTCAAGTGATACAACTGCCTCTGCCTCCCAAAGTGCTAGGATTACAGGCATAAGCCACCGTGCCTGGCCCCAGATTTCTATAATTTTCATATTTTATTCTTTATTTATTGATTAATCACTGAGAGGGTAAGAATTGTGTAACTTCCTTGTTGTCCATATTTTCTCTTCAATTTTTACTGTGAAGGCCAACATAACATTTTGAAGGTGAACAGGTTTTTTTTTTTTTTTTTCCTGAGATGGAGCCTCACTTTGTCGCCCAGGCTGGAGTGCAGTGGCACGATCTTGGCTTACTGCAACCTCTGACTCTCAGGTTCAAGCGATTCTCCTGCCTCAGCCTCCCGAGTACCTGGGACTACAGATGCCTGCCACCATGCCCAGCTGATTTTTGTATTTTTAGTAGTGATGGGGGTTTCACCATCTTGGCCAGGCTGGTCTTGAACTTGTGACCTCGTGATCCACCCATCTCGGTCCCCTAAAGTGCTGGGATTACAGGCATGAGCCACTGTGCCTGGCCCAGGCAAACAGATTTTATTCCACGTTTCCTTGATCACTCTTGTTTTTTCTCTCCTGTGTTTTTTCTCTATTTGAAATTTTGCATTATTGTTGCTTTCTTCTAAAGTATTCACATAGAGTTGTTAAAACAACTGAAGTCAGACTGCCTAAGCTTTAGGTTTCTTCTCTGTTAAAAGAGATAACAAGATAATAATAGCACTCCTCATTTATAGGGTTACTTATGGGTAGTTGTTGGTACACATTTATAAGTGCTTGAAAAAAATCTTAGCTTTACTATTATTTTATAGATTTACCTGCATTTGCGATGTTCTTGGTATACACCAACTGGTTTGTTTACTTACTATCGAATATTTATAAAGCATTTAGTGTTTTATTGTTGGCTGAAAAAACAGTAACAAAATAGGGTGGTGTATATTTATGAAGCTTAACTCTAAGAAGCAAAGCATACATTTTTTTTTTTTCCTTTGAGACAGAGTCTCACTCTGTTGTCCAGGCTGGAGTGCAGTGGCGCGATCTCGGCTCACTGCAATCTCCACGCAGTGAGCCAGTTATGGTCTTGATCTCCTGACCTCGTGATCTGCCCGTCTCAGCCTCCCAAAGTGCTGGGATTACAGGTGTGAGCCACCGCGCCTGGCCTTTTTATTTTCTTTTTGAGATGGAGTTTCGCTCTTGTTGCCCAGGCTGGAGTGCAATGGTGCAATCTCGGTTCACTGCAACCTCCACCTCCTGGGTTCAAGCGATTCTCCTGTCTCAGCCTCCTGAGTAGCTGGGATTACAGGCATGCGCCACCACACCCGGCTAATTTTGGATTTTTAGTGGAGACAGGGTTTCACCATGTTGGTCAGGCTGGTCTCAAACTCCTGGCCTCAGGCGATCCACCCGCCTTGGCCTCCCAAAGTGTTGGGATTACAGACGTGATACACCGCGCCCGGACTTACCTGGTTGTTTTTCAAAAGCTGTACAGATACTATAAATATATTTAACCAATCTTCTATTGAGGAGCTGGAGAGGGTTTCCAGTCTTTTGCTGTTATAAGCAATGCTTCAAAAAATACTCAGGAACATAGGTCATTATAAGCAATGCTTCAAAAAATATTCTGGAACATAGGTGATTATGTGTATTTCTGTAAGATAAATTCCTAGAGGTAGGGTTACTGACTTCAAAGGATTTAGACTAAAGGTGCTTAAAGAGAGAGGTTTCACCTGTTTGTTAGTTGCTGTAGCCAAAACTTGGAAACATTCTTTCTTCCTCCTTTTTCATACCTATCAATCACCAAGTCTTGCTGATGTTACCTCCTCAATTTGTTACAATCTGTCTTTCCTTCCCATTCCTCACAGCCAACAACTCAATTTAGGCTTTTACTATTTCTTCATGTCTGAAACCTATTGTCCTGAGAGAATAATCTGCTGGAACACATTCATGTTACCTACTACATACATTCAGGATTAAGTCAAATGCCTTTGAGCACAGGAGGTTCACCTTGATCTAGTCCCTGTGCTTTCCTTTCTCTGGCAGACTTCTCCCATCACCAGCTTCACTTTCTCTGCTTTTACACTGCAGAATAATTCATCATTTCAGGCCTCCTTGCGTTTGCTCTGGCTGACTCTCCAGCCTGGAATGCCTTCATCCATTTCCCTTACTTCACCTTTGTGTTCCTGTGCATTCATCTTTCATAGTGATTGCTATTCTCTATTGAAATGAATTTCCTCAAAATAGCCTGCAAATGCAATAGGGAGTACTTTTTTTCTTTCTTTCTAGCTCTAGCATCTATCACAGTGCTTGTGGTCATGGGGTGCATACTCAGTAACATTTCCTTTACTGAACTCAACTAGATCTTCGGGGAAAAGAGGTGGAGTCATTCATTCATTCATTCATTCATTCAACATATGTTTATTGAGAAGCTATAAACGTAAGCACAAGGTTATGTGTTAGTGCGATTGCAACCAAGAAGACAACCCAGGTCCTACTTTTGGTCTAGTGAAAGAGATGGAATTAAATGGGTTTGGTGGTGTGCCTGTGTAGTCCCACAGCTACTTGGGAGGCTAAGGCATGAGAATCTCTTGAGGCTAGGAGGGGGAGGTTGCAGTGAGCTGTCATTGTAACACTGCACTCCAGCCTGGGTGACAGAAGAAGACCGTATCTTAAAAAAAACAAAAGGACAAAAAAAAAAAGTAGGGCAACATAAATACACAATTTTAATTCAGGTGGGTAAAGACAATAGTGGATCCTAGGGCACTGTTTAGATTATGTTATGGATATGAATAAATAGAGAAACGGGTGGCTTTTTTCCTTAAAAATATATTTTAGAGACAGGGTCTCACTGTGTTGCCCAGGCTGTTTTCAAACTTCTGAGCTCAAGTGATCCTCCCACATCAGCCTCTTGAGTAGATGGATGGCATTTTAATTAGATGAAATTATACTAGCAGAGGCATTTGCAAAAAAAGTAATTGCCCCAAAATCACTGTGAAACCCTAAGTCAGGCATTAAACTCACGATTTCTGACCTTGTTCACGAACTACTGCCTCCTATTGCCTTTACTTTTTTAAGTAAAGATATTCTTCTGGTAAACGCATGGTCAAATACAGTGTCTTGGGTAATGAATACTAAAGTGAGATAACATATGTGGAGCAAGAGGGTGAGAATTCGTATTCCATGAAAGTATTTTCTTTCCATAGGTGTCTGCTAAACTACCATCTAAGTTTTCCAAAACAAAAAAAAACTTGCGTGGTGCTAAATAATGTATATTAAGCGAAACCTACCAACTGACCTTTATCCTTTCCTTCCTGTTTTTTAATACTAAATAAGAGAACTCTTCACAAACGATTGAGGAGGCTAGTAAAATGCAGTGAAAAGAGCAAGTTCTTTGGGAGTCAGACAGCATCGGATCCAGCCCGCGGGGCAGCACGACTAGTAGAGTAACTTAGATTAAGTCCTTAAACTTCCAGTGTTCGCTTTTGTAAGATGGGAATAATAACAATAAATAAATAGAGAAATAATGTTTATGCAAAGTACTTAGCACAGTGTCTAACACATAAGAGCTTAGGAGAAGTTGGCTATTAAGCGTTTCTAGGAACCCGAGGACTTGGGGTTGTTATTTTAGTTCTTGGAATCAAAGGAACTTGAAGCGTAATCATTCCTAAACTAAGTTAAACCAGAACCAGCCCTTTCAGCAATGATGTAATTTGATCTCTTCGGGCCACCGTCGCTGAGCATGCGTAAATAAACGTGGCGGGACGTATGTGTCATGGCGCTCTCCATCTAAAGTCTGTGCAGCTTCCGGAGAGTGGCGGGTTGATTCTCCCACTTTGGACTGGTTTTTACTTCCCGACTTCTGGGTAAGGGTGGCGGTTGGGTCCATGTGGGGCAGAGTGTGGCGACGGCTCCTTTTATGGCAAGCCTTGTTTCTCCAGTTTCAGTCTTTCTTGGGCTGTTTGCAAAATTGTTTCGCAGTTAAAAGGGGATTTGCCAGTTGGGATGGGGGAATTGGGAGGCAGATGGGGCTTCCAGGAGCGAGGATAGGGTCGTTGGCCTCAGGTGCCGCTCTCCAGTTAGTAATATTTTGGGCACGTCGTTCCTTATTGTCAAATTTAACTTCATTTGTTCTCCCACTTTATACCTTAGTGAATTTGTAGATGTGACAGGGCTTTCGCAGTTACATAGCTTTCCCAGATCAGTATCTTAAGAATTTAAGCAGAAGGTATTGAGAAAAGCAGATGTCTTGCTTTTTCACTTTTCGTTCTTCTTTGCTCATAAAACCTTTTTCTGAATCTCGGGACGACAGTTATCTTTCGAATGGAACGTGATCTGGATGTCTGCCTATCTTACTGACTTATTCCTGTTTTGTAGTGGTTGGTTACTCGCACTATGCAGACGTGTTGTAGTGCTGAATACAACATTACTACAGACACTGGATCACAGTCACGGCAGATGTCAGCACACCTGTTGTAATCAGTAAGAAGTTACAAGTAGTATGGAGCATCATTAATCCTGCTGTATAAAGCAGTCTTTTTTGGAGTCTGATTCCTTTTAAGTAAAGAATCCTTACAGTGGTTTTGTGAACATCTTTGGTGCTTGCTTTTCCTAATCAATTTTTATTTTCCAGACTCATCTTTCAAGAGGACTTTAGACTAATTGCAGATAATTAAGGTACTGATTTATTTTAAACCTTTTATGTTTGAGTGCTGTACATATTTCTGCATGTTAGAAAATGCAGAGAGGTAGCTTAATTTCTTAGCTGTTTGCCACTATCGTGTTATGGAAACATTGTCCTTTACATACCACTAAATTGAAGAGATATTTTCATTTATTTTACTTAACCTTTCGTTTTCATTCACCAGCATTGACCATGTCCACTTTTTTGACATGCCCTCTTCCTTTGCCTTCCATGGCCCATGGATTTTTTTTCTTCTCTGGTGGCTGCTTCTTGGAATCCATTATAAGCTGATTTTCCTTTATCTAAGAGTTAAATTTGGAGTCTCTCAAGTCGTGGTCTTGTACCTTCTCCTACCTCTGTTCTCTTTTTCTTTCCCTCTGGGTGATGTAATCCACATGCCTGTCAACAGTTATTTGTCTTTTTGATTCTACCCATCCTAATGGGTATGAAATGGTATATTATTGTGGTTTGGATTTCCATTTCCCTGATGGCTCATTATGTTGACATCTTTTCACGTGCTTATCAGCCATTTGTATGTGTGTGTTTTTGAGACAGGGCTTCCCTGTGTCACCCAGGCCAGAGTGCAATGGCTCGATTACAACTCACTGCAGCCTTGACCACCTGGTCTCAAGTGATCCCACTTCAGCCTCCCAAGTAGCTGGGACTATAGGTGCATGCCACCATGCCCGGCTAATTTTTACTGTTTTTTTTTTTTTTTTTGTAGAGATAGGGTCTGTGTTGCCTAGGCTCTGGCCTTGTACTCCTGGTCTGAAGTGATCCTCCCACCTTGACTTCCCAGTGTTGGGATTATAGGCATGAGCCACTGCACCTGGCCCATTTCTATATCTTCTTCATCTAATCTGTTTTTCCTTTTGTTGCTTGTGCTTTTGGTTTCTTAGCTAAGAAAGGAGGGCCTACTCTAACATCATAAAGATTTGTACTTATGTTTTTTTCTAAAAGTTTCATAATGTTAGCTCCTAAATTTAGGTATTTGATCCATTTTCAGTTAATTTTTTGTATATGATGTGAAATAGAGCTCCAACTTTATTTTTTACATGTTGCTATCCAGTTGTCCCAGCATCATTTGTTGAAAAAAAAACTATTCTTTCTCTGTTGAATTGTCTTGGCATCTTTGTTGAAAATCAGTTGACTAGGTTATGTATATTTGACATGCATTCTAGGTGGTTTTTATGAAAGAATAATTCTGGGACGGTGATTGTCAAACTTTAATTCAGATCAAAATCACCTAGAGGGCCTGTTAAATATTGCTAGGTTTTACTCAAAACATCTGATTCAGTATGTCTGGAGTGGGGTTCAAGAATTTTCATTTCTGGCTGGGCATGGTGGCTTATACCTATAATCCCATACTTTGGGAGACCAAGATGGGAGGAGTTTGAGAGCAGCCTGGACAACAAAGTGAGACCTTGTTTTTACAAAAAAATTGAGAAAGAAAGAAAAAAATGTTCATTTCTGACAAGTTCCCCATGATGCTACTCCAGCTGATGTGGAAATTACACTTTGAAAACTACTGGACATTGCTTTGCAACTGTGGCTGTACACATGAGAATGACTGGAAAGTTTTAAAAATATGTTGAGGCCCAGGCTCCATTCTCAGAGATTCATTCCGCTATCTTGGGGCTTAGTTGGGAATTTTCCTTTTTTTTTTTTTTTTTTTTTGAGACAGAGTCTTGCTCTTTTGCCCAGGCTGGAGTGCAGTGGCGTGATCTCGGCTCACTGCAAGCTTAGTTGGGAATTTTCAAAAGCTCTTCAGGTGAATAGAATGAGTGTTCAAGATTGAGAACCATTACTGTAGAATAGTGGTTCTTAATTAGGAATCTATAGTGGAATTACCTGGACAGTTTCTAGGTTCACGTGCTTCAGTTCTACTCTTGGAGATTCTAATTCAGAATGGAACCTGGAGATTTGCTACGATAAAAAGCTTCCCGCCGGGCGCAGTGGCTCACGCCTGTAATCACAGCACTTTGGAAGTCGGGCGGATCACCTGAGGTCGGGAGTTCAAGACCAGTCTGACCAACATGGTGAAATCCCCGTCTCTACTAAAAATACAAAATTAGATGGGCATGGTGGCAGGTGCCTGTAATCCCAGCTACTCGGGAGGCTGAGGCAGGAGAATTGCTTGAACCCAGGAGGCACAGGTTGCAGTGAGCCGAGATTGTGCCATTGCACTCCAGCCTGGGCAACAAGAGTGAAACTCTCTCTCATAATTAAAAAAAAAAAGAAAAAGCCTCCCTAATAACTCACCTGTGTAAGTAACTGCTGCTCTAGGATATTGCATCCTCTTTCTTACCATTTTCGGTATTTTCCTTTTCACTGACTCTATTTTTATTCCCTTTATCAAATTTGATTTCCTCTACCTTTGAGAAAAAGTTTTAGTGATCCTTTTTCTCCATTTAGCTATTATGCTGCTTTCCTTTTATTCTCAAACTTTCATTTCCATATGATTTAATTAAAAATTTCTGAAGGCTAAACAATTCCCTCTGTCAGTTTGTTCAAAGTAAAACCTTTAGCTTATTAATAGTGATGAGGGAGATTATTTAGGTACTTATGATATATAGCCAGGTTTATGCTGCATAATGCTGATATGTAGTGTTACATTTATCTTTTTTGAGTATCTCCAAGTGAAATTGCTGGCTCAAAGGATATACATATGTTTGATATATATTGTCAGGTTGCCCTCCAGAAGGGGTGTACCAGTTTTTCTATGCTTTCAGCTAACAGAGTTTTTGTCAGCTTTTTATCAGTGAGGCAGCTGAAAAATAACTTATTGTTTCAGTACTTGTTAGTGTGGTTGAGCATTCTTTCCTTTTTTTTTTTGGCTATCTGTATCTCTTAAGTGAACTGCCTGTTTTTACTTTGCCCATTGTTTTCCGGAATATGGTTACTTATTAGTGTCACATTAGGTTCTTGCATTGTTTGTACTTTGCCAGTGAGGCAGAGCCATAGTGGGAGGAGCATGGTGTTGAGAGGAAGCCTAGGTTCTAATTTCTAGCTCTATCAATGTACAAATCCTTTTGCTTCAGTGGACTCCAGTTCTGTAAGATAAGAAGCTTAGCAACTTCTACTTCTCTAATGATACGGGATGTCTATTGCAGTGGATTTCTTTCATTTGTCTTTTTCCTTTCTATTTCTCTTCAGTGGATCCATGCACACTTGTATATGGGATGGCAAAATTGTGTAATTAAAAAATATGGCTTTTAATTAATGTTATTTAATTATTCATGATCTGTCAGTAGTTCTTCAGCATTCCGAAGGCACTACCTGGTCCTAGCCTCTCTCATTTAATTATTTCATAGAATAGTGGTGATAGAAGAAATCCAAGGGTTGGGCATTGACTTCAGCTTCCCACCCAGTGTAGAATTTCCTGCTATGTCATAGAAAGACTCGCTAAATTCAACTTAAGCATTGTATTCATTCAGTCAGTAACTGTTGTGCACCTGCTATGTGTTAGGCATTGTTAGAGGCGTTGTAGAGACAGTACTGAAAAAGAGATGATGCCTCTGTGCTTAAGAAGCTTATATTGTAATAAGGAAGATACAGTTATATATGTGGTGTCAGGTAGGTAAGTGCAATGAAGAAACATGAAACAGAAGCAGGGTTAGAAGCAATGAAAGTGTGGGCATGCTTGGGCAGCGTGGTTATTTTAGATAAGGTAGTAGGAAAGGCCTCTCTGAGGAGGTGGCGTTTGAGTGAAGAAGTGGCTAGGAAGACATATTTATCTGGGGGCTGATATTCTGGCAGAGGAATAGCAAGTATGAAGGCTCTTGAGTCAGAAACTAATTTGGCATACTCAGAATATCTATATCCATATATTGCCTGACTGTGTAGTCTACAGTAAAAGGCTTTATTGAGAACCTGCAATGTGCTAGACATAGTTCTAGGCACCTGGGGTAAAACAGTGAATACCTCACCCAAAAACCTTTACCCTCACGGAGTATGTATTCTAGTAAGATAAACAGTTAAAACAATTATTAAAACGGTGGAAGCAGATGATTAAGTGCTGCAGTTTTAAAAAAGGCAAGAAAGGGGCATAGGAAGAGGGTATGTGGTGAGGTAGGGGTGTTGCTTGGAAAGTCCTCTCTTGTTACACTTGAGCAAAGTCCTTAAGGGCTTGAGTGAGTGAGCCATTCAGGTGTCTTGAGTAAGAGCATTCCAGGCAAGAATAAGACTATGAAATGAATGTATATCTAGTGGGTATGAAATAACAAAGCCTGCATGACTGAGGGGAGCATGACAGGAAATGGGGCCAGAGATGCAGCAGGAGGCTGATTATGTATGTCATTGCAGATCTTTGTAGTGATTTTGGCTTTTTACTCTGATATGGAATACTGCTGGAAGGGTTTGATTGAGAAGCTTGAGATGAACTTAGGTTTTAAAGGGATCCCTGACTTTTGTGCTGAAAATGTTCTTGGAGAATTAAGGATAGAAGCCAGGATACTAGGGATTGCAATAATCCAGACACGAGTTGATGTTGGTTTGGACCAAGAGTGTAACAGTGAGTATGGTCACAAATAGAGTCTGAATATATTTTGAAGGTATAGCTAACAGGATGTTGTTGATAGGTTGGATTTGGGGTATAAGAAGGGAGTGCAGGATTTTTGGCCTGAGCAGTAGAAGATTGGGATTGCTTTTTTTTTTTTTTTTTTTTTTTTTTTTTTTTAAGAGTCTCACTCTGTTGCCCAGGCTGGAGTGCAGTGGTGAGATCTTGGCTCATTGCAACCTCCGCCTCCTGGGCTCAAGCAATACTCCTGCCTCAGCCTCCTGAGTAGCTGAGTTTACAGGCGCCCGCCACTATGCCCAGCTAAGTTTTTGTATTTTTAGTAGAGATGGGGTTTCACCATGTTGGACAGGCTGGTCCCGAACTCCTGACCTCGTGATTCGCCTACTTCGGCCTCCCAAAGTGCTGGGGTTATAGGTGTGACCCATTGTGCCCAGCCAGGATTGCCTTTAAATGAAATGGGAGAAGTTGTAAGAG